GATAATCGCCCAGCAGACTACACGGAGTCAAAACACAAAAACTCAGCCTAAAGTATTAGCTGAATTTATCTGGTAAAATAAGTTTTTATTCTAACGATCGAGAAATTAAGAGTGTTCCAGAAAATATTTTAGAATGCCCTGTAGTTAATATTAATTACTGAGCAGTGTATTTATAATATTTAAAATATGCTGCTGAGGAACATTTTTTTTTGGCTTTATGCCATTATCTGTGCGAGTAAGCATTTGCAAGATGTGAAAATCAAACTGATGTCCAAAATATTGTCCAAGAATTTGAGACTGTTCCACATTACTCTGGTCTTTATTTCTATTTATCGTGCACTATATAATGACATACATACTCAGTTTCGCATTATATTCTATCTAGATAATAATTGTAAAGAAATGAGAGACAGATTCTTGTGAATTATGATGGAACATAATATATTATTAATTCTGCGGAAGTTTCAAGGCAAGAACTTGAGAACAAATTAGGCCAAAAATACTTAACCTTTGTAAATTAAACATTTTTAAAGACAGGCATATTCATATTGCCACGTGTTTTAGTGACTAATAAGGCGGGTTCGGGATTGGATGAATGAGTTTATTTACTCCTGATACACACCATCAGGAATTACACGTAATTGTAGCACTGTTATTTACACGCTTTCCAGTTCACCGTTGCACACGCAATAGTATTCTGAGTTAACACTATTCTTCTCCTAGCAACGGATCTCAACACAGAAACTATCACTTCAGCTCACTATGAAGTCTTCTTGCTATTTCGTCTTCAGTCTCTCTGGAACCTCGGAACTAAACATTTTTCTTAACTCACTGACTCGTAACTGCCCTGAACGAATTCTGTCACACTTATTTATATAGCCGCAGAACGGACATGGACCTACAGTAAACACATATCACATAATCGCTATCCAACCTGTCTATTGGCGCGTCGGTCGGACTACAGAAAACACAGCTTCATCTATTGTTGCGTGTTGGGCCGTGTTTACAGAGCCGTTACTTCGCTACTCTTTGGTTAATTTCGTTACAATATTTAGATAGTGAACTTGATTGAAAAATGTGCAAAAATTTGTGCTAATATGATGGAGATTTTTTTCAAAAATGAGCACAGCAATGCAGACCTAAACGTAACTTTAACTGCTATCATTTTCCGCTCCTATTCGTAACTATTCTCAACTCGTAACAGTAATACACATACAAGAGATAGACAGAGTAGCAAAGATATATAGGAATCTGACAATAAACCACTTGAATGAGTTATTTTATTATGTTTGTTGTAGATTTGTTCGATTCTTAACAATTTTTCGAAATTATTTGAATATGTTATCCATAACCATGTTTCACATTACCNTTTGCTTTAGAACAATTGAAATTGCACACCTTGCATAAGAGGAGATATCATCTTGATGCGCTCTTCCTTATTCAAGTTTATCGTGGTTCTGTATTTTGCCCGTCTGCTTTGGAAATTGTCGGCCTTCGGGTCCCTGTTCTATATATCCGAGATTTTCATATGTTCAATGTCTGTTCTGTTAGTAAAAATTGCCCCTCTGCTAGATGCGCTTCTGCTGCTAATGTTGTCTGTAGAAACGTTGACGTCTTTGGACCAAAAACTCTGTTGATGAAACATATCTTATATTGAATTAATTTAGCTCTTATTATTATCACTATTTTTATTAATTTCGTTATTATTATTATTAATTAAATATTTGTTTCTTTGCACTTCTAAATAACACTTAATTTATTATGATGGAATTATTATTACTATTGTTATTATTATCATTTATTAGCTTGTTTGTTTACTTTTCTTCATAAATTACCTGTAACTTATTTTTGACTGATAATGTGTTTGTCTAATGTTTGTAAAATTTACAAGTAGTTACTTTCATCTACAATGTGCTAAGTCTGTAATTGGCCTTGCGGCTGTTGACTTGGCACATAAATAATAAAGAATTGAATTGAATTGAATTGAATTGAAAGCAACACAGTACAGGAAAATCTTATTCGCTTTGAGGCTTGAGTATGGTTCTAAATAATTTATTATTCAGATCAGAATGTCGTATTCTTAATTAAATAATCAAATGAATAGATTAAATGAGATTAAGTGATGTTCCCTAAGGGCATCGCGTGTCATAAGAGAACTGACCATATTTGAAACTGGAACCAATATTTTGGCTAGAGATACAAATGTACATAGTGGTCGCATTAGCAGAACACAGCCTGGCCGAGTCCATTAAGGAATGAAGAAGCACAGACCGACTGAAATAAGAAATAAGGACGATAATAAAAGCTGTTTGCCGCAGTGGTTAGCTAGCTTTACACGAAAAACTTCAATTTTACCCACATTGTGTATTTACGTGTTTCCTATCATTCTCGTAGTAAACAGCAACTATTTCTCTAGAAGCAGTAATTACTCTTTATAATGGAGGCTCTGTGGGTTCTTCTGCGGCAGGAACTGGATTTTAAAATAATATTTAGCCCAACTTAAAGCTTCAGTGTTACAATTGAGGAGAGGATAAGTCAAAGCAGACAACTTCTGGACAGACTGATGATGACGACGATGATGATGGTGAGAATAGTTTAATGTATTCTACCTTACTATAGAGTGGTAGAGTCAGCGGTGAGACTCTGAACATATCCTAGAAGCCTAAGCTTTCGACGAACAGCCGCACAAGAAGAAGAAGAAGAAGAAGGAGGTCTGTTTCATAGCGTGAAGATGGACGAAATACTTTTTTCACATACTTTGTCAAACTTAAACGTAAAAGAGGGGAATAATAGTGTATTAAAACGGAAATATAAATCTTAAATACAATTAAAATAATGCGAAAAGATTGACATGGATTTAATTCGAATTATTGGTAGTACTGTTTGCCAGAACTTGAAAGGAAGTGACCTCATGTAAACCGTCCATCACTTAATCACTTTAGAGCGCAACACATCACTTCGCCGCATAGCAGTATGCATTCGAATATCATTAATTTGCATTTAAATAAGGATTCTGAAAGGAAGTCCTGACAACCAGAAAAACTGTACGTCCGTCGAATAGTTGATAGCGTACGTGTCCCACTCAGATGACGTATTTGCATGCGCCAAGTAATATGAGCTGCTGCAGCTTTCACCTCGCCTGTTATTTCTAAAACTGATATTGAATGGTATAAATTTCAGTCGGTAAGGGGACGAAATACGGGATCGAGGGTCAGAGTTCGAGTATTAATTGGGTGTTGATGTCCAGAGCACCTCTGAGACAAACGCAGCGTCCTGTAAAACAGGTACTGAAGAAAGCGGCGAGCAGATTATGAAACTGATAAATTGCCTCTTATTACAGTGTTAATAGTTTGAGGGGGCTTTTCTTCACGTTCTTTCTAAGCCTATTTGTTTCGAAAATGTGTGCAGGGCAGTACAGCTTCATGTTTACGTCCATTGCACCGGACACTCTGATGTAGATATAGCATTCTAGAATTGTGTTCTAAATAGCATTCATGTCAGGAAAACCCCCGCCTTTCATAGAACCAGCTGGTTCGTTGTGCTGTTCACAAGAACCTCTCCACTGCTCTCTGTCCAAACCAGAAGAATCACATACACACCTTCAGAGGCTGTTTCTTTAAGATCCATTTAATGTTATCCTCAGCGGCCTCCGTAGTCTAGGGATAACGTTCCCACCTCGTGACTCAAGGTACGCGGGTTCAAACCCGGCGGAGGTCGTGGAATTTTTAAGGGCGGAAAATTTCAGGGAACAAGTCCTCCGGGACGGACTTTAAGCCGTGGGTCCCGTGTCGTAGCTTTACGGCCTGTAAAAGAACCTCATGTCTGAAGGGGACCTCTGAGCCAAATTCAGGACATTTCCCGCCCAACAGTAGTCTCTAACGCTTCTGGTAGATGGGGAAAGCATCGAGATACCGCTGAGCTGGCTGAGTCGGGACTGATGGCACGCACCAGTACCGGTAAGGTATAGAGACTGGTAGAATATCACACGGGGACGCACAATGGACCAATATCTGGTTTAAGTGCATGGGGAAACCCACCCTCTCCAAGAACAACAACAACAACAACAACAACAACAACAACAACGTTATCCTCCCAATTACGTCATATCTTCTAAATGGTCTCTTACTTTCAGATTTTCTGGCTGAAATTATGCACATTTTTATTACTTTCCGGGAGCGTAAGGCTGACAATCTTACCGCCCTATGTGAGCCGACTGTCTAGAAGAGCCTCGACGTCGCATAACCTTATGGGCCTTTGCGGCCTGTTACAGGGATAGCTTTTTACAGTTTTATCTTTCACATTCGTGCTACATTCCAGTCACTGCCTCATGCGTGTTAAACTCCCGGGCCGTATCTTCCTGAGTTAATCGCTACACAAGAACCAATGAAGATTCAAATGAAGCTCATCAGGCAATTCAATTCCATGGTATTGTTACTTCCGTTTCCTTGCCACCTGAGCATTTATCTTCGTAGTACAAAACATGACAATGAAGAAGTTTCTTCCATTTTTTTCCTCCTCTTTAATTACTTGAAATCCAATGGAACACTACCAGTTCTGAGACGTACAGACATCTGTGCGCCATTAGATGTTTTGATGTGCAGGAAGCTCAACTGGGTGAAACTCGAAATTGTGTACTCTTATGACAATTCAGTGGCAGTTATTGAACATGTGAAAGTGTGTTCAGTTGTCTAAATAATGCCAGTGTGTTAAGGATTCATATTTCCTGTTTCTGCCTCTGGAGCACAGGGAATCTGTGAAACGCTTTCATTCGCTTCAGTTTCGTGATCTTATAGACAGTCTCCCTGGACGGGGATCAGCCCGTCACGAGGCCGCTATCTATACAGGATAACACAAACAGAATAATTGCAGACATCCATGCCTGTAGTGGGATTCGGACCCAGGTCCCCAGTGTTCGAGAGGTCGAAAGAGTTGTGTTAAAGGATTAGCCAAACAGAAATGATTAAGCTCTGATGTAATGAGAGGATGAACTCTGTTTTCAGTGCTGATGGTAACTACGAAGTGAGATACAAGTCCAACGTGCTGATCTACCCGAACGGGGAAGTGCTGTGGGTCCCTCCAGCCATTTACCAGGTAAATATATTTACTCTCAAAAAGAGGTAACAAGAACTTCTGCAGCAGCTGGCATAGAGACACATTAACATCTATTTTGGGATGTTAAATGAAATATGAACAAATATATGGCATCTGAATTCCACAGTAGAAATGTTGCAGTGGTCTTCCATACTGTGTCTTAAACATGCCCTGTATTTGTGTTTTATAAAACACTTTGACATTTGCTATATTCTTCTTCGTTTTTTCTTCATTTTGTTGGAAGGTCGTCTTTATCTTTCGTCTATATATCTATCTCCTTCATTCTTTCTCCCTATCTATTTATCTATTTGCTTTCACTTTTCATCTTTGTCTTCCTGACTGTTTTCTTTGTTTCCTCTCTTTATTTATTTACTTTCAAATGCTTTCTTCCTTTATCTGCGTTTTTCATTTATTTACACATTCTTTTCTTTTCAATGTCTGCTTTTTCGCGCCCCTGTCCTAACAGAGGAATCAGACTGAGCCTCTAACAGAAATAAGTACCAGGGATTTTCCTGGGAGTAAAGCGCGGCCAGCGCCCAAGTTTGACAACCTCGCCGCCATCTGTGAGCGAATTCTCAAGAAAATATTTGTGCCTTGACGTCACACAAACACATGTTCCTCCACGGCCTGTTGCATGAATGGCTTTACCTTTACTGTATTAACTTTAAGGCTTCTTTTCTTTTGTTTATCTCATCCATTTTATGTGTAAAGTTTTCCTGATTATATCCATGTTTATTCCAATGTATCTCTCATTTTTAGTGTTTTTTTTTTCTTACACCCTAAATCTCTTTTATCTTTCTTGGTTTCGTGTGTATTTTTTGTTGTCTTCCTTTCAATGTAGGCCTACAGTCATCAAGCGTCTCCAGTTACTTCAGTTCTTTCAGGCTACATTCACACACTACGGCAGTATATTTATTTCGGTCGACAGCGTCGTCTGATAAACAACGCAAAAATAATAATTAATTTTCAATCGCTGTTCTATATTGCAACACTATCAGAGCGACAGTCATTTTAGAAATAACACCAACTGGTCAATGTTTAATGCAATTTTCCGACTCTGCACAAACTCAGATATTTCAGAGAATGGGTGCGGCTTCTCTCATTCCATTTACTATCATTTTCCGTCTCTGTCGTCCTGGTTTCCCTTGATAAACACAGGAAAGACATGAGAGAAGATTTCTTCCAGCAGCGGTTGCAGAATTTCTCTTCCCTTTGGCACCCATTGCCTTCAGACCGCCCTCCTGCTTCAAGGAATGTAAATGCCAAACTGGCATATTGATTCATATTGCAGACCGTTATAACCCATCTCTCTCTCACTGCTTCCTTCTGGTCTTGTCGCATGAACGAATGAAGGTGAAGACGCCCCCAACACAGCCAAACCCTTCATCTTCATAACATCGTTCAGTAGTTAGATCTTGCGCTGTGCTTCGGCTCATGCTAGCAGCACAGCCTGTAGAGATCTGTGTAACAGGGTAACACGAGTATCCGGGGGCAGAAAGTTGTTAAAATGGTCTTGAGAAAATTTCATGTTTGTACCGTATCTTCCCAAATAAGAAAACCAATTTTATATCGCGAAATGCCTTCGAAGTATTGACTGCGCATTATGTTCGCGAACGATAACTTATTAAAAGAGTCTAACCCTTTCATGCCAAAATTATAATGAAAATTCTTTTTATATTACTGCTGCGTTTTACCGTGTATAAACTTACAAGTACATTTCTTCTTCAAAATGCATTCACGGACCAAACCTTACGAACTAGCCAAACAGCCCGACAGCTAAGGGATCCGATGGGCGAACTTAACTTCATATAATCTTAGTAACATAGGGTCAAATTAAAACAGATCGTTAGTTCAAGTGAACTAGTCTTTGTAACATTTTGCTTACATCTTGTAACAGCCAATAAATAAAAAAAAATACATTCGAAATATGAATTAACCATCGTACGATAATTTATTAACTTTCTAGCACTAACAGCGCTAAAACTGTAGTAAAACAAATAATTTTACCTCGAATATTCAGGTAGAAGATTACACCGAATTATTGGTAACCACCTAATTTAGAAGAATGCAATCCAAAATTTAACACCAATAAAGCCCACAATCTCATAAACCCCCTTCTGTTGGTACCATGTTTTCCCTACTATCTTGCAAAAGTTTTTCCTTTGAAATATTCGTTGCACATGGCATTCTCGAGCTATATAACTCTGCTTTTTCAGTTCGTATCGTATTTCGCAAGATATAAATTCGCGCACGCAAAAAAAAAGAAGTCTATGAAAGGTTTCCATAAATTTGGCATGTAAGCTGCACATAGATTTCTACAGAGTCCAGACAGAATGTGGTGACCACCCAACCTCCTGTTGAATGGGCACCAGGGGTTATATCTCTGGAGCTAAAGCAGCCGGGGGGTGAAGCTAGCTACTCTCCTCAATCTAATGCAGAGGTCGAGAATGGTGGAACTATAACGCCACTCCCCCATGCTTCTTCGTGACATGATCCTTAATTAAACGCAGGAACACCTTTACCTTTACCTACAAGTTTATAACTTAAAGACCGTAATTTAGTATAGGGGTGGGTTTTCTGTTCTAGGATATAACGCAGTGTAGTCCGCTGAAAACGAATCGACGTTTCGGAGGAACATGTTACTTCAACCTTCAGGGTTTAAGAGTGAGCCAAGCAAGAAACCAGCATGATGCAGGCAGTAAACTTCCGAAACATTGGCTGACTTTCGACGCACTAAATGATCTTATATACCCAGACGACAGAACTCTTTTTAACTAACGCTATGTGACCCTCAAAACCTACACAATCTAAAAAGTTTTTAAGATTGATATGTATCCGTTGTATTATGTAATTTTACTTTTCAGAATTGAAGTGCGTCTTATACTGGGGCATTTACATGCTAACGTATAATTTCTCATGTTTGAAATCTGTAAACAGATTTAAGTGGTAAAAATGTTTAAGAGATCTAGCTTTTCCGGTCTTGTATAGAACTAAATAAACTCAGTCCACACTGGCCAATACTTTAAAGCGAGATATTTGGTTCCCAGTATGGAAGCTGGCAAAATCTAAGTCTAAATAGCACCCCCTATACTGCAGGCGCGAGCTTTAATTTGCTGCCGGTCTTAGACCGAGACGAAATAAAAAATATCATAATAAGGAAGGTAGGCCGCACACCGGCATAAGACATGCGACACGATGTCTGCGACAGGAGCACAGTTAAACTAAATGAGATTATTAAAACCGCCGCACACCGGTCTGAGTCATGATGCTGACGTCAATTTCATGCTGATGAATGACGAATGAAGCAAGACTGCGTTTTGTCTCACGACTTGTTACTTGTCTTGATGCAGCTGGTGTGCGGCCGCCCGAAGGCAGGGTTGCAGTGACGCTCCACGCTTGTTCTCGGCAGGTACTGGATTTAAATTTCGGTCGTAACACCGACTGTGCTGACTGAGGTGTTCTGTGGTTTTCCTCAATCCCTCCACACAAATTCCAGGAGGAAATCTAGAATCGTTCCAATTGCTTCAAGTTCATTATCCGTGAATTATTGCGATTTTGACGCTCTATAGACTGGAGACAAAAAACATATCGAAATAAACTATAGCAAGAAAGAGAGATTACGTGTAAACACTATATATTTGGGTGGTGCAAAATGTCTTTACTTGCTTCGACTTGACTGTACGTCCGTCTGTCAGCATGTAAGAACTCGAGAATCACTCAACGCAAACTCATAAAGTTTCATATTGGGGAATTCTGCTTAGTTTTGTCAACACATCTTAATTTTAGATAAAAATAGGACAACAACAGAGGACATTTCACAGGAAGAACTGCGTAGGACCGTGTCCATAGCTCAGGCGGTTAATTGCTGGGTCCCAAATGCCGAGGTCCGTGTTCAATCCCAGGTGAGACCATATTGGATTTGTGGTGGACAAAGTGGCATTGTGGCAGGTTTTCTCAAAATGTTTCTGTTTCCCCTGCCAATTGTCATTTCGCCAAGTGCTTAATACTCATCCGGGGCTGGTACAACGGGCCAATTAGTGGCCGACGTATCAAGAGCACTCAGTCTCGCCCCACCAAACAAGCTTTAAAAGGATAGCGATCTGCGTGTTACTGCCATCTATCTCCAGTGATGTTGCAAGACGCAAGTTCCAGCAGAAGTCCTCACCGCCAGATCTGAACATGCTGACGAATAGGCCACGAAGTTTGAAATGAAACCGCCTCTTACTTGATAATTACAACAAATTGGTTGGTATATGAACATCGTATAATCCGGTCACGTTCCGTTGCTAAACAATACTGAACTCCGAAAGAAATCTGTTATGGACACATCTGGAATCATGTCTCGCATATTACGAGAGAGTAAACAACATCTTGTGCCTTGTAAGTGACTAGCTCCGAATGTCAAACTTACCGAACTTCAGAAGTGGTACACCCTTTAGAATAATTCTATGACATGTCCACTCTTGACACGACAAAACTCTGATTTTGCTTTCATAAACTTGAGATGATATGGCGAAACCTGCGTGCCTTATCATATGCTAAATAATCCTTTAAGTATTCCGTGTACAAAATAAATCTTCTCTTTATCACATGTCAGAATGACTCTTGCACGTTCTTCGAACTAAGCTAAGCAGCTGAAGTAACCAAAAATGAAACGGGAATTAATGTCACATGAAACGTACAAGTTTGGAACTGGCACATTCTATTTATAATAGCTCAGTTGGTGTAACGACGGGCTAAGGACCAGGGTTGTATTCCCAGTAGACGAAAGAGATTATTCTCTATTTCGTAGCGTCCAGGCCGGCCCTTGAGCCCACCCATAAAAATAAAAGTCAAAAGTAAAATTATCCCTGTAACAGCCTGTTGAGGCCCATAGGGTTGTGAGATGTTGAGGTTCCAACATTTTCTGTACAATCGGCTCATAGATGGCTGTAAGGTTGTCAGCCGCCCTTTACCCCAAAGAATATTCCTGGTACTCATTTCTGTTAGAGGCTGAGTCGACCCCAGGGCCATAGTGTGACTGCGAGGATTAGATAAATTGAAAAAATCCACCTAATCGGGATTCGATCCCACGACCTTCCAATTTTGGAGCCCACCCATACTCCTGCCTAATGGGTACCAGTGGGCTCTTTCCCTCTAAGTAAAGCGACCGTGTCTTGAAGCTGACCACTAGCCTCTACCTACCGCAGAGCTGAAGAATGGTAGAACTTCACCTCCGTTTCTCCACATGTCTTCATGACATAGTGCTTAATAAATTGAGCACAGGGACGATTCTACCTTTTGTTTACTATCAAATTTTGAAGTAAATATTATAAGATATGGACACAGGAACTCAGTGAATGTCTCAGAATTATTGGTCTGTGCTTCCGTTAATCTGTTTCACTAAGGACCGATGGAACACATTGACATGAAGAACTTCCAGCTACCGCTGTTGACGCAGTGCTCTCGTTCGGTTCAGACGGATGTGGACAGCCGCAGTCTTCACATCAGATAGCTTTCTCACGAACTGTGTGTTAACCTAATTTTGTCTCTTGCATGGGATGAATTTAATATAATTCAGGGCGAGAAGTTTTCAGAAGTACGAGTCTAACATCCAAGGAAATACTAACAGTGTTCAGCTCTCTGCGTTGATTGGTGCAGCCTTCCCGAGCTCATGTTATTTCGTTAGACAACGTGCCACAGCAGCATACTGATGTGTGAACTCGGCTTCACCCTTCAGTACATTGTTTATGTGGACCGAGAGGAGATACTGAGAGGAACTTAATCCACTAGCAGTATTAGCTTAAGCCCGTGAAACACAGGGTTCATCTAAATAACATTTAAATTTCAGTTCTTATCTTACACCCCGTCTCCATTAAAAATATCGTTCAGAAAATTATGTTTAGTAAATTACTCATTGTTTTCTCCAAAAATCTTGTGAAATACTGAAATATAGTATATAGACAAAATGCAGGTAAAAGAAGTAAAACCATTCCTGCAACAGGCCTTGAAGGCCCGTATGGTTGTGAGACGTCAAGGCTCACATTTTCTTTAGACAATAATCTCACAGATGGCGGTAAGTTTGTCAGTCTTACACGTCGGACGCCCTTTTCCTCCCAAAAGGATTCCTCGTACTAACTTCTGTTAGAGGCCGACTCGACACCAGCGCCATAATGCGGCTTGGAAGAATTAGATAAATTGAAAAAATCCACCTCATCGGAATTCGAACATGCGACCTTCCGGCTTGTAGCATAGTGTCTCAAACAAGTACGTTACCGCGTGCCCTAGACAAAATGCAGAGTTTTTAATATTAAAGCAAATGACACACATAAGAATCATTGTGTTGCAAAGAGCTAATATTTCATCTCTATTTTAATGTTTATCAACTTCTCGGAACGTCGTGAGGTGTAACTGAAGTTCTGCCATGCAATGTACCAGATGTTGCATTTAAAATATTCGAATTTAGCGATTCTATTATTTGTGTATATAGCGTGTTCATGTGTTATGTCCTAACCTAAATAGACCAAATTAAAATATGAACTTCTATTCTGGGCTTTTCTTTCGGAATACCAGTGGTTAGCTCTGTGATCCATGTTTGAAAACTATTATATTAACCAAATATAAGCAATGTATTTACTTACATCTGCAATTTATTCTCATTATTTTTTTCTTCGCCTGATTATTTGCATTTAATTATGTACGTAAACGTATATTTTTGTTTCACAATCTGCTATGTTTATCAGTTTCTACGGAATATAATCAATGTTAAAACACTCGGGAAAGATGTGAGACCTAACGTTCCTCAGACATTAGTATGTTGCTTAGAGCAACGCATGCTGGACCTCTTCACAGTCATCAGTCCTTATCCCATCCCTTGCTAATGACATGCGATAATTGTTTTATGAAATAATGACTCCTGGTCCTTCTCGCAACAGCAGAACACATTGATTATTCATTTAGTATTCAAGCGTGGAATTATTCAGTTGTATATTCATTAAGCATTCTATGTTCTGAGCTATAGCGCCATGAAGTACGTTGAAAGTAAACTGACATTTCGGAGGAACATGTTGCGTCCATCTTCAGGATCGAAGAATTAAGGAAATTGCTACCTGCTTCATGTTGGTTTCTTGCTTGGCTTTCTCTTCGATTCTGAAGATGGAGTTGAGATATTCCTCGGAAGCGCCAGTTGACCTCCAATGAAAGACACATCGTTGCATCCCGGAAGATAAAACTCTTCATTTCTACTGCTGTGACATCCTTAAATCCTATAAATCCTCATTTACAATGCCTTAGTTTTAATATTGTTTTTGTTGCGTGTATGAGTGACTGGACGAGGTTCTGGATCGATAATTGGATTTATTGAACACGTACAGATCGTAACTACAACTGATTACAGCGCTATCACTAATTCACACACTCTGCAGTTTACTACATCGCGTATTAAGTCTGCTGTGTCTCCACCAGTCGTTGCCGGTGACGGATCCCAATAATATCTTCTTCCGTGTTCAAGTTCTTCCCGGCTGAGGACTTTCTCACGAGTAACTTATTCAAATCGAAGTCAAAGTTCTGTTACGACCGACGATCAGTCCGTCAGCCAGTCTTGGTGTCAAACACTCATCTGGGGCCCAAGACCAAATATTTATTGCTATCAGATAGTTGCAGAGTCCCTTTCCGATGAGAGGATGGGTTTATCGTTTTCAATTGCTGCTGGTCCTTCCCAGAGCAGTCATTCTTCGGTCCCAGTCCCACAGGACTCATGGTCATATTTCACAGTCTTAGATCCGAGACTTTCCCAACCCGGAACACCGGGTCCCTGTATTTACATACCCTAGGAACAGGGTGGCCCAGTTATAACACCAAGTACTAGGTACCCTTTTCTTCGCCTCCTACTATTCGCAAGGCTGCGGTGGATGTATTCGAAACGACCTCCAGGCGGAGTGACTAACTGGTTGCTCCAACTGCTTTGCTTATAACATCTCGGCATTGACCGCACAGAAAATGCCTTTCTTCTGTTGCGCTCTCCGACTGTTGCCACATGCTTGTTTGCGAAGGCGTATATATGCTTTTTTTTTAATTGCATAGTGGGGGGGGTGGAGTCCAGCTATGTCCACTCGGCACGTCGGGCACTGAATGGCCTATTGCACCTGCTCCGGTTGACTATAATGATGAAGAATTTGGTGAAATGTAGATTGGCAGGGGAAACCGAAGTACTCGGAGAAAACCTGCACCAGCTCCACTTTGTCCACCACAAATCCCACTTTAGCAGACCCTGGCTTGAACCGGGGCCGCCGCGGTGGGAAGCCAGCGACTAACCGCTTGAGCTATGGCGCGGTCTTGACCCATATACAATATGTAGTGCTTTATCCGGATTGCTAAGACCTAGATTTTCTGCATGTTTACATCATAATTTTGACTATTTTTATGTAGTATCTTATTCTTTTTCTTTTGTTGTCTCCTCCTCATCCACTTACATTTGTGATTCTGTATTAAGATGCAATGACTTTGGTTCTGATTTCAGAGTTCATGCACCATCGACGTGACGTACTTCCCTTTCGATCAGCAGACTTGCATCATGAAGTTTGGGTCGTGGACATTCAACGGTGACCAAGTGTCCTTAGCATTGTACAATAACAAAAACTTTGTGGACCTGTCCGATTATTGGAAGTCAGGTACATGGGATATTATCGAGGTTCCGGCCTACCTCAACAACTATCCGGTCACTCCCACTGAAACGGACATAACGTTCTACATAGTGATCCGGCGCAAAACTCTCTTCTACACAGTGAATCTGATTCTCCCAACGGTACTCATTTCCTTCCTCTGTGTCTTAGTGTTCTACCTGCCAGCGGAGGCGGGAGAGAAAGTCACCCTCGGGATTAGCATTCTCCTGTCACTCGTTGTGTTTCTCTTGCTAGTATCCAAAATACTTCCTCCGACCTCGTTGGTGCTACCTTTGATCGCTAAGTACTTATTATTCACTTTCATCATGAACACTGTGAGTATCCTTGTCACTGTCATCATCATCAATTGGAACTTTCGTGGTCCTCGGACCCACAGGATGCCGCCTTGGATACGCGCCGTGTTCCTCTACTACCTGCCAATCTTGCTGCTCATGAGGAGACCCAAGAAGACCAGACTAAGATGGATGATGGAAATGCCAGGAATGTCTGCGCCACCTCATCCTTCCTACGGGTCTCCAGCCGAACTTCCCAAACATATTTCTGCACCAGCCACAAATAGAAGTAAAATGGAGGTTATGGAACTGTCAGATCTGCACCATCCTAACTGTAAAATCAACCGGAAGTCCAGCACAGAGCTTGGTGGGAGCGGTGCCGGCAGTGGACGCCGGGAGAGCGAAAGTTCCGACTCCCTTCTTCTGTCGCCAGAGGCTTCCAAAGCTACAGAGGCCGTAGAGTTCATTGCAGAGCATCTACGCAATGAAGACCAGTATATTCAGGTACGCGAAGCCACACATGTCTCCGTATTTACAGGAAATTTTCTTCCTTCAGATGTTCACAATATTCAGGGGGTGTGGGAATAAATGCAGCACAAAGAGAAGTGCCCACTCGCTTTACTCCCCAGGAAAATTATTTAATTAATTTCTGGTACTCATTTCTGTTAGAGACTGAGTCGACTCCAGGGCCATAGTGGGGCTGGAAGGATTAGGTCAACTGAAAAATATCCAATGAGCACATTGGGACTTGAACCCGCGACCTTCCGGCTTGTATAAAGAAAATAAAATTTGTTTATGTAATTGAAAAGAAATTTATTGGGAATGAGGTATCCAATCCCATCCCAAAATTCTACTGCAATGTCTATGCATCACTTTAGGAATCGTAACTACCGTTTTATATGAGAGACCTGTCCTCTCTTGAGAGAAGGCGCCGCACACCAACAAACCCGTAGTTGTCCTGCAATATCTAGTATCTGGTCGTGAGCCATAGACCAAGACGGACTGACTGAATAACCATAGGTCGCAATGTGACTTTGACTTTGATCTCGTCAAGAGTATGAAGTTAATTTCGGAATATCGTTGATTATTCTGCATTAGGCTTGCAGTAGGAAAGAGGAAGTAGATAGAAAAGATGGAGGAACCGACAGAAATTTGTATTAAATTTGTATATATTTACAAATATTACTCTTCAGTGGGAAATTGGGGTGCCCAAAGGAAGATGGAAAAATACTTCATCTTTGGCCTGAAAGAAGTAGGTTCTGAGGCTCCTGACTGAATTAAAGTGACTCGGGATATGGCCAGTGAACAGAATAGTACGGGAATTTCTTGATGCAATAAGCGATATCAGTTAACAGAAAAAGATCCGTGATCCATGGAGACAGAGTGGCTACTGTAAACTTCTCCCTTGTGAACTTTTGTTACATGTCTGCATTTATGGGCCATCGTTTTCATCTTTGGATCTTTCCTTAAACATTTCAATTCAGTTCTGTCTTCTGTGATACAACGTCGTGTAGTTGAAAATCAACAGATATTTCGTAGGAACGTATCGCCTTCAGACCTGTCTACCTGCTTCATGCCGATTTCTTGTTTGGCTTATCCATTCACCCTGAAGATGGAGGCAATACGTTCCTCCGAAGCATCGGTTGATTTTAAGGGGTCATATGACGTTATATTCCAACAGATAGATGATATAAGGAAGGGAAAGCTCCTGTGCTTAAATAATTAGCCACTACGTCATGAAGAAGTATGGGGAGTGGACATGTAGATACACGTATTCTTGACCTCTTGACATCTCAGTAGTAAATAAATAACAATTTCAAAAGTTCTGTGGAGTAATAGTAAGCAAAATGGATACATAAATGATTTGAATGCGTGTATTGGAGTTTTTCATACCTCTTTGATCTTGGAAGTTAATTTATTAAGAATCAAACTAGTTGCTAGAAAATTAATAATTAAAAAGCGTCATAATTTATTTTTCTGTGTATTTCGTTAAATTTAAATATAACTATTAAACTAACTCGGTGGTTTTAGTCCGCAATCGAACTATACCGACCGAGAGACTGCAGCTTGTCGCCGAAGTTAGTACCAACTTTTGCGGATAGAGAGTGTTGCGTGGTCATTGCGACGAATCCCCATGGGCGTTAATTTCGGTTTTCTAGGCCGGAGGCGCTATTTCCATGAAATAGCTCTTCCATTATCATCACGAGTCTGAGTGGACCCCGTTCTAGAATTCTGGTAGATCCGAGAATCGAATACGGACACTTGGATGTGTAGCCAAGAACTCTGACCACTAGACCACAGAGGCGGCAAACATAAATTTTACCACAAATAATCCAAATAAATTTTAATATCTTAAGTGAATTCTTATTTTATCTTTTACATCAATTTTTGTATGAAGAGCCGTTTTAGAGGAAATTTTTGAAGTCTCAATTAGGCTTATTGTAAAGTAGATGATATACTGAACTGAAATGAACTAACTTGAACTGGCATACGGTCTTTCTCACAGCTCCTCCAGTACCAAACGCCCTGAGAATTCGATCGATAATTTCTGAGCTGAACCTAGAGGACGGAGAGGCATCTCTTCCCCATTAAGTGTTGATAAAATGATTTTCCTCTTGTACAAATGCATTTCACCATACAGAATTTTAGGGAGCCCTGACGTGAAGCTTGAAGCGTTCTCAGCATCGAAACCGCAAATGGAAATGAACTGTTAGATTCACCCTCTAACAGCTTTTCACCAGAGCAAATACCCGAAAGACTACGACTGACCAGGAGATTAGTTGGCATGCAGGGCCGCCATGGTCCTGGTGCAGAAGAGAGAAATCCCTGCTCCTGCATACAAACTGAGGCTTCTGAAATAGGCTATGTCCGTCGTGTTTACAGACTAAGTTTATGTACGCATTTCTTGTCTCTCCCACGTAGTTTCTATAGGGTTCTGACGATGGTGCATGACAATCGTGATTAATGGGTTTTGGTATTTGTCCATCTTCCGATATTCTAAAGAACACTAAAGACAAAAAGTTTCGGAAGCTGGATTTGTTTCCGTCTTCAGATGTGAGGGTGGGATACGCGTGCTCTATTAGACCCGTTAGAAGAATCTAACCTCAACCACTGGATAACTTATGCCAGTAAACTGCAGATATATAAACCCATTTTAATATTGTCCACCCACATACGTCTTGGTCTTCCTACTGGTCTCATTCCTTCTGGCTTTCCTACCAACATCCTAAATGCATTACTCTTCTCCCGCATTCGTGCTACATGCCCTGCCCACTTCATCCTCCTTGACTTCATCATTCTAATTATACTTGGAGTAGAGTAGTACAAGTTATGAAGCTCCTCATTATGCATTTTTCTCCAGCCTCCTGTCACTTCATCTCTCTTCGGTCCAAATATTCTCCTTAACAACCTGTTATCAAACACCCTCAGTCTATGTTCCTCCCTTAATGTCAAAGACCAAGTTTCACACCCATACAGAACCCCAGGCAAAATTATAAGTTTTGTATATGAGTCCCCTCGTTAGTCAGTGTAATTTTCAATGACTGAAGCTATAGATCTGAGTCTTATTTTGTTCCAGAATCTGTAGGCTGAAATATTGGCCCAAGAACTAAGTAGGAAAGAACTATCACTGTTTTCTGATTGTGGATAATTTCTCAGTGAAAGAATATGGTAATTTGTAATGAAGTTTTTTATATTATGAATAAATCAAATGATGTATTATCCGTCTCTGATTGCTTCTTAGACAGGGACACAGTGCTTCTGTATTTGAATCATCCTTGGTGGCGCCTTACAGTCTGCTCCACCTCCTTAATGTACGAGAATGATAATCCATTATTTATAGTCGGTGGCTTTACTTAGTTATTTCGAAGTAAAAGCAGACCGAAAAGACTCACGGGAAATATTCTGTACGTCTCTAATTGCTTAATATTATCGTTGACTGAATATCTTTTGTAGATATGTCACATTGATCAACTAACTTCATGGGGAAAGTCCTTGAACAACGCATGGCCACCCAGTTCTCTCTCGGAAAGCAACTAATCATTACATATTCCCAAGAACCGAACACTGAATCCTGCTCTGAGATTATTTCATTCAAACTTCGAATTTATATACAGATTATCGAAGGTTCATTTTAATATTATCTAGTCACCTCTTCCTAGTTCTCACAAGCGGTCCATTTGCACCATATTTTGAGACTAAAATAATTTTATAATTTCTTTCATGTGTGCTATAATGTATCGCATTAAGTTGAGGAATTGTTTCGGAAGAGACTGTGGACCTGTCGTCTTGACAGATTACTGATGATGATGATGATGATGATGATGCTATATGACTTGGACATCCCATTCGCATAACCTTTTTAAAAATAGCATAAATTACGAATTCGTTATTATATAATTGTATCTGCTTTTCGGTTGCTTACTCGAGATGTGTTCCTAAAGTTATGTGTGGCAAATAAAAGTAATGAACACGTGAGCTAACTACCCCAGAATTTGAATTTCAATAAAATTACATATTTACATTTTCACTTTTTGTATTTTTAATAGTTTACATCATGTATCGGAGAATGAAAATTTAAACACCGATATATTGCTTGTGTCCACCAACCGCAGTGACGTCCTCTTGCTGTTAACCATTCCTCCTCTCTGATCCCAGTCTATAGTTATGAGGTCAAAAGAATTCTGCGAAAAAAGATTTCGGAAACAGAGCAATTCAACTGTAAGAGGTGCAAACGGTTGAAGCTATTGATCATAAGACTTAGCCTGAAAATGGGTACTTTTTGTTAATGGTACTTGTTACATAAACAAGAAAACTGAACATAGACGATCTCGTTTGATTTTAATTAATCACTGGTGTTCGGCTCCTATCAAGGAATAATCCCTCGAATTTTGATAGAAGTGTCGTAGAAAGCGGGGCAGGTAACAGCGCAGGCCCATGTTGGCTGTCAAACTCTTAACGCACAGCAACCGTAATATCGAAATGGGAATCATATGCACGTAACTGAATGTCAGTTCAGTGTCTCAAACACAGACCACTAAACTGAGCGACATCGAACACTTTGATAACCAGAACTTCAGTTTCATAACATTCGCTTCTTCCCTACACCAAAACACCGACAGTTTCCGGCAATTATTCTCCGCATTAACTTCCATTCAGTTGTAATTACATTATTATCTCGTGTTAGTAACTATACACGATGTCTGAATCGATAATTGTGTTTGTTGGACGCTTATAACACGCAAATACAAATGGTTATAAAGGCGCGTCCACATTACTCGTGCTCGTGCTCGTGCTCGTGTGACTAGCTATGCTCGCGAGTAATGTGGACGATATGACAAGTCATGAGATAAGCAAATGTTTAACTTTTAATTTAAAAAGTAGAGCGAATAAATTAAAATACGACTAAAGCCACTACACACTACGAGTAAATATACAGATCCTCACGCGCCGAAGCTTAAAGAGCAACTGAAGCAGTGTGGACGAAGATTTACGAGCACAAGTAA